GTCCTTTTGCTAGTTTAAACAATGAGTGGGCTATAGGTGTATTTTATTTTTTTTATTACTAAAGGTGCGCTAATTAAAAGGGCGAGTCAATTAAATTGTATTACGATACAATAGTGTGTTATATTAAAATGCGTATTGGATCGTGCTCGGATGCTCCTGGTCTTTGTCCTTTCTAGTGATCGACAACCGCCTGTCTTTGAGTCTTCACCCCAATCCTTCGCATTCGACTGTTTTATATTACCAGCCTTACCTTTGATGTAGTTTATACGTGTGTCAATTACCGTCTGACCCTCGTCAGAATCGCTGAACATGCAAAATCGAACACATTTCTTTCCAAAAAGGATGTCATCTCGCACAATAACACGTTTTTTTAATTTTTGTTTTGTTTCAGGTAAGTGTGAAGGCGTCTATCTTAATCGATGTTTCACCCGCCGGCATTTYCTTCTGTCGTAAGTAATTCATGCAAGCGTGAGTGCGTGATGTGTTCCTCATTATCGTCCCACCTTTACCACCTAATTTTCTCAATGGAGAGAGTAACGTTTACGAGGCCGACACCAGCACGCCACTGCCTCGCAAAAGCCGAGGGTAGTTTATGAGTGTCCAGTTGATTGACGCGTCTACAAATTGCGGCGTCACGTGGCTGAAATTCCCAATTGGCACAGTGGTCCCTGAATACTTATGATGCCGGCTGTTGTGCCACTTTCAGCATTTGTAAAACTGAAATTGTGCAGTAAACGGTTTAGCCGAGCCATGTTTATTGTAGAATTACGCGTCATAATTTTTGGCTTGTTTTTGTAAAGTTTTTTTAGGCAAAGCCGGTGACAATGGAGGTCTGTTTTTTTTCGAAGGGACAATTAATTTGCGATCGAACGAATTGGGTTGAAGTGCCAAAAACAGGCAAATCGACGCGACTGCCGGCAAAAAGTCGGTCAGTTATTATTTTTTACGGTGGGGGGTGGCGTGAGTCGCGTAATCGAGTTTAGAATTTTATAAGCTCGAAACTGGTTCAAATCGTTTTAATTGAGTCGGTTTAATTTTGAGTGACACAATGTGGGTAATTACAGAGTGACGTGGAATAAAATATTCTCGAGAGATTTATAAATATCACCTTATCGGCGCTGTAATAGACAGTTGTATAATTAACTTGAATTTCCCAGCGAATTGCAGGTCCAATGAAATTATCTCTGGTGGAACAAGGCACCAGGCTGCTTTTGAATTCAAGAATTTGACTATTTTTTAATACTCTAATTTGAAGCTGTTACTGTGTGATTGCTACAATTTTACTTTTTTACTTTATTTAAAAAATACTTTGGACAAAAATGGTGGATGCGCCGGGAGAGTTATACAGCATGTCCCCGGATTGAGTTTAAAGGAAGAACATTATCTTTGATTTTACGCTGAAACTGCAAAGGAAAAAGATTCATTGCTTCACCTGAAACGAGCAAACTTAAAACTTCATTATTCTGATTCAGTGAAAAGAATAGTTATATTTTTTTTGAATTTCGACTTTCGAATAATTTTTTACATAATAGTTATTTATGTATCAAGCACGCAATATAGGGTTTTAGGGGACGAATTGTAATTAATGACGAGGCGACGTAGGAGCCGAGTCTTTAATGAGACGAGTCACTTAAACCTTTTGCGTACGTGGTGCAGACAAGATTTTATGTTAAAGCTCCCAAAACACTAATTCACACTTCTTATTAATAAAATAAATTTCGCCACCATAAACTAATTTAATTTTTTAGTCCGCAAAGCAAAAACTGTTTTTGCGGCCTGAGTACCTAAAATAACCATTTTGCGTACTTTTTTATTGAGTCCGAAAAAGACTCATTTTGGGTACTCAAATGAGTCGCAAAATAGCTATTTTTGGGAGCGTATACAAAAAATAGCTATTCTCTGCTATTTAAGTCCTATAACATTGGCGGCTTTATTTATTTGACAACTATATGTCACTTTGACTATTAATTTATTAATTAAAAATGATAATTCTTGTTAAAAATGACTTTGGTTTATATCTTAAAACTGTTTCTTTTAGTTGCTATTTATTAAAGTTATGTTTTTCACAAACAATTTTGTTATTTAACTTGCGTAAACTTATTTGACAAAGTGCCATCATTGTCAAAATAATAAAACCGCCAATGTGGACTTAAAAAGCAGAGAAAAATTATTCTATTATTATTAGTCCAAAATCAAGAGAAAAACGAACTTTTTTCTACTGAGTTACAATAATGAAGTTTTAATTACAGATTTGCTCGTTTCAGGTGAAGCACAAAATGTTTTTCCTTTGCAGATTTGGCGTAAAATCAAAAAAATTTTTTTCCTCTTGTAAGCTCAATCAGGGGGCATACTGTATAGTTCCTATTAAATAAAATTTTTGAGTATTTAACTCTTGACAAAAGTGGTATTCTACATTAAAGGAATATGATGCAATCTTATTTTATGTTTAGTTTTTTTTGTGTTCGTTGTTGTCAATTAACTAGATTTTTAAAACTTCTGATTTTTCCAGCTTATACCGTTTGTTTTTTTTTTACTTTGTTTTAGGGATTTAGCAACGTTTTCCAATAACTTTTCGACTTTGCGATTTTAGTGTTATTGGATGGTAAAAGGGTTTTCGTTGAGCCGCTGACAAACACTCGTGATTAGCTCTCCTTATGGTTCATTTTACGATTTTTTTCTGGGATAGGTTTGTCATTAAAGCTTAATGAAGGGGTAGCGAAAATTTCGCCACCGCATTATTATTCACAGATTTTTTTCTTTTACGACGTCGTAAATCAATGTTTATAGAATTACGACTGTATATTTCATAGTAAAACGCAAATATACACTCAGCGGTTTTCTTTTAGAATCATTTTATTACGATTTTTTTTTATTGAAGATTGTGATTCGTAGTAAAGTACGTTTTTTGGTAGTATAAGTTTTGGAAATTTTGCTCGTGTTATAATTTACTTTTATTGACGCTATCGGTTACCGTTCTAAATTACGAGCTGATTAAAAATGCCGGAGTACTTACTTCAAATTAACGGAGGCAATTATGAATAATGTTTCTTGTTCGGTTGTAGAGTCAGTTTTGAAATGTATTGGGGAATTTTGAAACGTAATTAACAGAGTTGGAGTAATTGGAATGCGCGTGGTGGCGACCACCAATTCGTAAATTGATTTTACTAACTTAAATCAAAGAATTATCGCTAGTGTTATTATTATTTGGTTGTTGTATTGGGTGTATGCAATTTGATGGTTGCACATGGCACAAAACCGAGCGATTTTCAACTGTGCGCCCTCATAACAGTTACTTTTAATTGGCCCGTTTTGAAGTTGTTTGTTCTGCTCTAATGCGGATGGATCAGTTCACCTTTCTCGATTAACTTCAACAATGTAAAAGTGGCCCCATCGCTTTTTTGTATTTTTTCAATCGCAACGATTTATAGGATTTTTTCTCTTAATTAAAGCCGTATTTCTTTATTATTGCGCCGATTAAAACAATAACGCTTCTCTAATTTATAAGCGTTTCTGTTTGAATTTTAAATTGAAAAATAATAAAACGCTTTCAGTGATACAACAAATCTTCGATCGGGGAATCGTAAAATAAAAATTTCAACCGGTTATAATTTTATTTCGAATCGAAATCATGATTTTGTGTTTAGTTTCTCTGTGAAATATAAATGTAAAAGAGGCCGGATAGTCTAGTCAAAATCGGAAACAGAACCGAACCGGATTATTAAAATGGGACCCAAAAAGTGGAAATAACTGACGTTAGTCACGATATATTCCCGCGAATAAATTTTAACGTCACATTTCTCTCGTACTTATGCCGTAGTCAGTTCTTTTTATTTTTCGTTTTACTGTTGAATTATACTTTCAATTTTTTTTATTGTCACCGTTTAAAACGTGAAGACTTTTTTCGTGGCTTTCCGGAGGGTGAGCGTCATGTTTAAAAAAGTGCAGCGGTGGCAGTGTTATCGATGCCAATCACGTCGTGTCATTCTGATTGGTTCGTTTTTTTCTGATGTTAGTAATGATTCTCGGGAAAACTTCTCTACCTCGTCGACGTTTTAATAATAAATTCATTTGTAAAGTTTTAATGAAACGAAATAACGATGGAGTGTTTTTTTAAAAGTCTCTTCCGTTAATTTGCAAAACAATGTACCTGCATTATGGCGGAAATTCGACGTAATCCGGGCGTTAAGATATAAATAATGTTTTCGGAATTAATCGCGTCCGGACTCTCATCAGCTTCGTTCTATTGTTGGGCGTTATTTTTATTTAAATAATTTGAAATTGATTTTTTTGGGTTAGTAGTGCCGAAAGTTCCGGGTGACTTAACGACTCGCTCGCAAGGACATTAGCCGTTAATTTATTCTTCGATTGAATCGTATTCCACGCCCCTGCATCCTATTTATAACGTCGCTTATAAAATAAGCTGCAAATATCCACACGACGCTGGATTAAGACATGGTCGAATTCTTGATCGTCGAGTCGTGATTTACAATTTTTTTACGAGGGTTGAAAGAGGATGTTTTTCTGGTGTCGTGTGAAAGCGCTCACCTGATGCGTCTATGTGTGTGAGTCTGGTGACGGCGGGATAGTTGTTTCCGAACTGCGGCATGTTTACATGACAGAGGGGAAAGACAGAATCGAGATCATTTCGTTTCCTCAAAACCGAAAAGACGTAACTTGATACCATCCCTACGGTTATCTTGCGTGCTGCTAGAGGTTTGTTGTGTGTGGAGCGAAGAGATCAAGTTTGTATTAAATATTAGCAAGCGAAAAACACTTTGTTACTTCGTCAACAATATGACGATGAAAAAAAACGGAAAAGAATCAGGTTCGAGAAAGGGAAATGTGATTTGGGACGGAGTAGATTTGCTACGCCCGGAGATGAAACGAAGTTAAGGCTCGAAAATTTAAATTAATCTTGTTTTGAGGCCTTCTGTTTTCGTGGAGCGCGAGGAACAAAGACAAAAGAAAAAAAAAACAATCTTTTTTGTATTTGTGGCATCAGACAAGGATACAATAATACAAGATTTCATTAAACAAATGAAGAGAAAACATAACAGACTAATTTGGTGTAGTTTCTTATTTTACAAAAATGCAAAAACGAAATTAACCGAATTTTACTTCATATTTGTCAGAGGTTAATTCAAATTTCGCCCAAATCTTCAGCAAGCCGAATTGTATACGGTATATTGTGCACAGTATTCCCTGTGAAGGCTTTATCGGCCAAAATTTGTTCCACCAATTGACCTTTGTAATAACTCCACCTATGGTCTTCTAGAAAATTTTTGAAAATTTGCTCAGTACTCGGAATGTGACGTGTCAAAAACTGCTCAATAGCTTTGAAAGTAATCATACTTTTATCTAGAAGAAAATATCTGGGAAGAAGAAGACATTCAGTCTCGTCTGACGACACTATAATCCTATTCTTCAAACTTTCGCCCACATTGAAACAGGCTAATTTATTGAAAGTGCAAACTTTGATAAAATGAGTTTGAATGTTTGGTTGCGTATAAGAAGGTCTTAAAGACGGTCTGGAGGTGCTTATTGCTGGTCTTAGCGATGATTTTAAGCCCATGTGAGACTCTTCCTTCTTGTGTAATTTTTTAATATCTTTATAAACAGCTGCTGGTGGCCTTGCCTCTGCATCAGCAGCTTCTTTTACCAGAGTGTAGTGAGGTAGTCCTTTTTTCCAGGTTGTTTTGATCGTCATGTATTCAATGAGGTAGCAACTGCCTTTAGTGATGAAGTAAACACAATCTAGTTGACCTCCGGTGCTGCTCAAAACGATTTGATCAGGTTCAAAATTTTTCTTTTTAGCTAGGATACAGCTTTCGCGTATGTCAACTTCGCTCCAGTTTTGGAAATAAGTGAACCAAGACATGTTTTCTTGCACTTCTGCCCATTGACTGGCCACAGTGTCTTTTAAAACACGATCGAAATCTTCACGTTTGACGTAAAGAAATTCTGTTGCTTCGGTTGTTGTAACAGTGGCTGTTCGAGCGATGTTATGGAGAAGACCAACTTCTCCGAAATAATTCCCCGGGCCCATCAAGAGGACATCTTTAGTTACATTTTCTTTAAGAAGTTTATCGTAGTAAGTTTGACTCACTACGACTTCTCCGGTCAAAATAACATAAAGGTTAAGCGCTTCATAGTCTTGCTTCACAACAATTCTATTCGGTCCGAAGTAATTAAAATACATAATTCCGGGCAATTGGCTTTTGACCTCCGGTGGGTATCGTCTGAAACATTTTAGGTTTCCGATTATTCTCCTTAAGTGATTTTTTTCGGCTTCAGTTCTTAGTTCCTGGGGTTTGTTCAGGACGGCTTTGTCTTTGAGTGTTAGGAGACTCTTCTTACCTTTCTTCCGAGTCAAAACTTGGATGTTTTTCTTAACGTTGTCGCCAAGTTTTTCGTCTTCGAGTTCTTGGAGCCATGATAAATTGGCAATGATGAGTTTCACGAGCGCCCGGAATTTTCGACGAGCACTGACAGCACGTTGGTAGCGCTCTTCCGGAGACATGGATTTTCTCCGGGCGCGATCCATTCTAGAGGCCATGGTGTAAAAGTGTTAATGTGGGGCCGTCAGAAATTTATTACTGTCAATCTGACGACGGTCAGAAATTGACGGAAAAATGCTTATCTTAGCAACGAGTGTAGTTGTTATGTGTTTCTTGKGTTTTTCTAAATTTCAGGCACGTACCGAATTATCGAACCTAATTCGRAAATAATCGAAACGGCACGTGACATCCGGAATTTAAATTTTCGAAARCAAGAAATCGAAGAGAGTTTCGTTAGTAATAGTTGTGTTCGGTTTTCAGGGCGCGTCCGAGTCGATGGTTTCGATTCGGATTTATGACGTCATAAGATAAAAATTGATAGCGGAATATGTAAATGCGGAACCGGATCCGGATATGATTAATGATGTAAGGTCCGCCTTTGCCATCGCTTGGTAATACTCGCGAAAATTGCTTGAAGGTTGGCTTCGTGTGCACGGTCACGATTGTAAATTTGTCCAAAWGTTGGTCTTGGCTGTGACAACAATTCTAAATCAGGATAATGCCTAATGTGATATATAATGCGAAAGTTCCGAGATGGAGTGTGGGATTTCGATTCTTGCCTGAATGTTTGATAATAGACATGAGACAGGAAGAGGAAAGAAAAAGAGTGGACAAAACGAAATGTCAACGGTCCGAAAGGGTCATAAATTCGGGCATTCATTTAATGCGTTTTCAGTTTAATCAGTCGAGCTTCGGTCCGGTTGCGTGTGTACGTAATAGAAAAGTTATGTGAAGTCGATTTCCTGATTGCCGGGTTTGTTTATGTGTACACACTGTTAGTGGGGGACAATCCCCGGATTTATTGTTTGTAGAGGCTCGAAACAGTAGGTTTAGTCAACCTCGTCATTTAATCGAATAATGTGCCATAGAGTCTATAAAACGTTACGGTCTTTTTCGACAGTATAAGGCATATCGGAATTAGTTCCTTCCTCGTCTGCGGGTCCAGGATTAAATCAAATTTCGATCTCCAAAGCAGCACGCCTTCCTTTCACGTTCAATTGTGGAATAATGATTGTTCATTAGAGAGTGGCGTCGGTGACGTTGTCGGAATAATAATAATTTTCTTTATTTCGGTGCCGAAATGCTGTTCACATTTCAATTGCCTCCAACGACGTTACTATAAATTAACAGCTAATTTGCACATGATCACAATGCACTGTCGTTTTATAGTGCACAGGTAATTTAAATGGACAATGTTAACAAGTTCCGCCGTTGCATTTATTCCCCAATCACTTTCGGTATGTATATATAGAGTAACATATCGATTTTATCCCGTGAGTCGTTTTTTTTATGTATAACGTGATAGGTGTTGAATTTTGACCGGATTCCTAGTTTTTATAAGCGACTAGAAAGCGCAATGTATGTAGAGGCGAAGCTTTTACGAAGAGAAAAATAAAAACTACAGATGCACTTCTTTAATTATATTGAATTACATCCATTACGCCAATGAAGCAAGTAGAAATGATTGCGTTAGATTAATTAATATTGTATCCAATCAAAGCATTTGTACACCTCGTGCTATTTCATAAAATACACTGGCAACGTCGTAACTGTGTTTTTTGAAGTGAAATAGGTCAAAAATATTTGATTTATGTGTAAAAGAAGAATCTGTTTAACACCTGGATTCCACTGACAAATTTAGAGCCAAAATACTCCACTATTTCTTACAGAAAAAACATTACGAAAAGTGACAGAATGGGCGATTGAAATGACACGACATTTATTTGATATTTCACAAGTAAATAATGAGCTACCATGGCCACGGAATGAAATTATTAACAACAATAATTAGTTAGCTGGCTAGCTCTAGAGTTCCTATATTTGAGTAATGAAAAATTAAAATGGTGACTTCCTTAATACTTATGAAAACGTTCAATGGAAATTGCAACAAAGTTTTTTAAAATTCCTTAAAACATTAGCCTTGCTCAATGGGAATTTAAGTTACCCATTAATTTTTTTAAGGGCACGAAATTCACTGCAGAATGTGAAATGCTCAATTCACACACTGTTGGCATTTCAAGCACTGTCATGAAACATTAAATTAAATACTGCAGAAAAAACTTTGTTTTTTGTATACACTTTCGAAAACAGCTGTTTTGAGTCTTTCCRAGCTCAATAAAATAGTACATAAAATGGTTATTTTAGGTACTCATTCTCCAAAAACAGTTTTTCCGGACTAAAAAATAAAATTGGTTACTTATGGTGGCGAAATTTTTTTAATTAATAAAAGGTGTGAATTCGCGTTTTGGGAGCTTTAACAAAAAAATGTTGTTTGTAACACGTACATAAAACGTTTTTGCGGACTCATCTGCTATTCTAGACTCGGTTTCACCTCGTCCGGAAACAGTAACGATTCGTCCGCAAAAACTGTGTTTTAGGTACTTGTAACAAAAATAACTATTATACTACATTTGCGAAAGTATTTTTTAACGCTTAACTGCCTTTTTGTTTTGATCTTTGGTCTCAACAAAAAACGTTTTGCTCACTCAATGTGAAAATAACTATTTGTAGCCTACTACACAAAAAACTTGCAAAAAAAAGTGGGCTGTAAAGCAGTCGTTTCATCTTTAATGTTTTTGGGAATATTTCTTTTAGTTTCTTGTTCTTTACTTCTTACTTGACTTTTTGTTTGCGGTTTGTCATTTTTCCAACAACTTCACGCTTATCGAATTAATCAGTAAATCCAGAAAAGAAAACTTGATAAATAATACAGTTACTTCCAATCAGAGTTGGCAAAGTTTAAAACTTGTTGGTCTTAAAGTTGAAATTTGATTTTTTTGTGTTTTAATAATGAATGAACTTTCACCGCTGCTTCATTTCATTCATGGCTTTTTCCCTAGAGTCACGTGGTATTGAAGAGACCAAAATGTAAGTTTTAATTTGCGATGGTAAATGTATTYATTTTCGTTGTAACACTGTTGTATCTTGTCACATTTTGYTGTTGAGTGGATATCGAGTGAGCACGTAAGTGGTCGTTTTCATTTTATCCTTGTGTTGTGGTCGCTTATAGCAGCCGTTTGAGAAAATCAAAAGGTGTTTCGGTAAAAATCCAATAGCCGTGAAAATATGTTCCATAATAAAGCCTAAAGACAACGTTCGTAGTGCTTAGCACAAAACCCATCTCGACTGTTTTTACCAAAGACGTGACCTCTGCTAATCCGAAAACTGCAAGATTGATGAAGCCTCGCTTCGATTGAATCTTGTTGTGTGTTTTGAGCAAAAAGCGCTTGTGTCGTCGACGACTCCGACATGCTGTTATGTTAATTCCGGTGGTGTTTTTATTCGCGAGAGATGGATGTATTTTTACCGTCGCGATGAGCTCCAGATATTAATTAATCGCGTTATTTATACGCCATTAGCGGAAGCGTCTAGCCATTAAGAGCGTCCGAATAAATCGTCCAGAAAAAACTATTAAAGGAGGTGGCGCATTAAGGTGAAGCCGTTCTGTGCATGCCTCTCATTTATCATGTCCTTACCAACAGAAAGATTTCGAGTTTGAGATTAAGTTGGCGTTTTTAATTCGGAAGTTGAGTCGTCATCCGTCGACTGGCTGTGGCACGGCAGTGTAATGGTGCCGAAGACGTATTGAACTTTCGACAAGCTTATTTATCTCGGGACGCAATAGCGATTCGTCTTAGCACTTCAAAACGAACAGCAGCATTGGCAAAAAGCCTACCCTCGGAAGGAAGCATGAGGGATAAACAACATAGAAATAATCATGACTGATCGATACGTTCCGGCGACTTCCGGCGAATACGTCGCACCTCGAAGGGATAGGGCCGCGGCTATAAACACCACATTACGCCATTATGCGGAGATAGAGCAACTGAGCCCACAGGCGACTTAACAATGTCCGTCGCGTTACAATAATAAAGAAATAAAGGGCCAGGTCGAATAGCTTTGTGGCGTAGCGCATCGGTGTATAAGAGATAAGAGATGTGGACGACGATAGCGTAGACAGAGAACGCTCCAATACGGCCTCTGGGAGTAGTTATGCAAAACTTGCGCGGAGCCCCGGCCTGCAGTTACACAGTTATGATGAAAGACCCATAAAGGGCACGTGAAACACCTCTCACACCAACGCACTATGCCGGTGCTGCTTTACCACCACCACCGCAGCTACCCTCGAACAACGGCTGTTTTAATGTACGCCGCCGAGCGGATTCCCGCGACGTGGCAGGAATAGTACCGGTCGACGGTATTGTTTCACGATTAAAATTAATCTTTTTCCATTGTAGGCATTATAAAAGGTCGAATGACGACAGCGGGGGTTTACACCTTTCTGGACGTCATTGAAAAATGAAAAATTTTGATACTGATTTAATTAATTGAGCTTAGTATTATTATACATACACTGCATTTTCTTGATTCTTGCTACGAGTAGTTTTATGTTTTTTAATACATTTTTAAAACTAACTTGTTCTTTTGCAACAGTTCTAAATTAGGACTTTAGTGAAGGATATTTTTTACTAAGCTAAAAGTGTATAAAATTTGGATCTTTTATTAGGGTCTTTAATGTGTTAATTCTTGCGATTGAATGTTCATATACGAAGGTTGTCTTTTATAAATATTTTCCAAAATATTCTTCCTGAAAATCAATACACTTTTGTGTCCGCTTAAATCAATTTTTAAAGCACTTTTTCTACTCCGACTGAGGTACATACCTCCAAAACATGCATTTTGAAAGCATCAACCGCTTCTTCAGACGACTGAACTTTTGAACTCAGACCCATTAGATCCATAATTTGTCACCGGTTATGATGTTATACACGTGCTTTGAAGCACTGTGATTGTATTTTTTAAACTTTTATTTAGAAAAATCAACACGGGCGTTTTTTGAACGGTTACCGAATGTAGAATTTAACACCAAGAAATTTTTTGACGGCCAACTGTTTATGTAATATTGAATGTATGCTAATTCCACTATAATGTTCAAATGTCTAAAGATGTTTCAATCTCATGATGTGATGTCACATAACGATATTGCAATATCATTTCACGTACAGCATCAACRTTTTTAACATAACAACTGATTTTGGACAGTCT